GATACGACATATAAGAACTGAATAAAATACCAGTGATTGAATTGGTATTTGATGTTATTGTTACCAGCAGGTAGGTGAGCACAGCTAAAGTTTTTCTCTTATTCTGTTGTTGGCTCTCACTTTCAGTAAATACAACCATGATTCTTCTCTGTATTATTTATTGTTTTCGCAATTACCTCTACTTCAAAATCGTATTCAGCATTGTTTTCTCCAACAATGACAATTATGGCACTCATTTTGTGAATATTTACATTCATGATTTTTTACTGTCACGATTCGCAACTATGATAAAGGGAACCGTTAGATCGAACTAAATTGACAACAAGGTATATGCAATATTAAAGCAGGATTACAGGTTTCTAGTGTCAGATACACTACCTGTTTTAACCAGATAGCTAGATTAAAAAAGACATGCTGTATTGTACCTGGAATAATTACTTTTCATTCATGGTGTTTACCATCACGAATTCGAAACTATGATAAAAGGTTAGTTAGCTCGAGCTATTATTTGACAGCAAGGTATATGCATTTTTTGAAACTCGAGCAGGGCGTATTCTGGTAATATCATTTACACGCAGTGATTCAATCTGTAGAATTCAAGACTGTATCAATATAACAATGTCATTAGTTCCAACGTGTTATGAGACCTATGAATAATATTCAGTAAGTATGTATAATTGTGCGATACTTTTAAAGCATACAAAAATAAGTTTATTGCTGATTCGGCAATAACAAAATATATTTGTTTAAGTATTATAGAACCCAAGACTACACAAATGTTGTTTTTGTTAAAATATAAATATACAAGGTTTCATGACGCTATACAATATGGAAACAGTGTGCATAGGCTGATTTTGTCACCATTGAAAATAATATACACAATATGACAATATAGTATATTGTATTGTATTTTTATCTTTTTGTATTTCCAGGATAGTTGTGAAATATTTGATCGATTGAAAAAATACATTCTTGCAATATAAGATAAAAAATCATTGTCATTATATGTTTGTTTAAATGAATATATATTTGTTATTCTTCTCATTTTATAAATTGCCAATCACTCATAAAAACTTGTGAAATATGGTTGTATGAAATTATATATTAGTATATGTGTGTGTATTTCCATCTGTAATACGTTCCACTGATTCCTCAGATAATGTAGATAGATGTTCATAACGACATCAATTATTTAGTCATTTGTTTAAATGTTTTATGTTTATGTACTCCGAAGTCAAGTATGTCGTAGGGTCGTAAGTCATGATAACATTTCATCAAGTACTTGTTTGAATATAATCTCAGCTATTCCATATTTATTAGTATAGTAAGGTCGTATGTAAATTGTGAAACTGGTTTGGCAGATATGCATATTGTGCACAAACATATAAAGCTAATTGGGTACACATTAGTATTGTGCGAGCGCATTGATTATGTGAATAACTAATTCCCATACATGTGTATATATATATTATACACGTACATTACATGCTGATATATGCTTTAACATTTACTGTGTGTCCCTTGTAACCCACTAGTAACTCTTAATATATCCATAATAAAATTGTTAAGCAGCCTGTAAACTTCAAGTTTACCTTTGCATCTTGCAGATGTATTTCAGAAAGACACTACACAACAATCAACATCAGAATGACTCAAAATACAGTGCCTGGTTGTTATATTTGAACTATGTATAGTACACAGTTCTTGGTTACTGAAATAAAAATATATGTTAGATAATGGAAACCATTATTCATTTGTTTGGCTTGTGTATTTGGTAACTTCATTCTTACTTTTGGATGATGATATTACATAACCAGATAACCCATAACAAGAACACATGTCTTACCACATGTAAAGTGATGTTCTTGGACTGATATTCTGCATAATGATTTCCAACTAATCCTGTAGCTTTCTCATTTACTTCAAGGACAGTACAGTTATTGGTCTTGATTATTTCTGGCTTTTAGCACACAGACAATTTTAGATGAAATAATAATAGCTTCAACATAAGGTGATATTACGAATTACAACACACATGAGCTACGTCATATGCAACTTGTTTAAATATGTAATGTTCCGGAATTCATATTTTTGAATTTTTGTATGAGGACAAAATATAGACAGGTTATATGATAAATATTATCTGAACTTATCGTCCATTTAATATTAAAATAAATTGTTTATTGCCTTGTCAATTGAAAATATATTTGTATATTTGCCTGTGGATGCTAATAATCACGGCATACTGGCAAATATTCATTTGTATTGGAATGTATCCGTAAAGTCGTCAATAAATAATGTACAAAACATTGACAAACCAATTAGTAGGCTTTATTTCCATTAAAATATGCTCGATTGTTTTGAGATTTATATATTATGTATATTATATATATTTATATGTTATGATTTTATGGTGTCCCACATATGACAATAGCAATAATGTTTCCTAATATCCATTTTGATTGTTGTAATTTACTGACTGGCTAACTCCAAAGACCATAACTCCAACGACACTTAATAGTTAATTATTTGTATTTGAGGTCAGTTAATATTATTTAGGATTTCTGTTTTAGACTAAAGTCGTTTAGGTCGAAAAATAAACTGCAGACCAAAAGACAACACGGTTTTAAATTTACATACGACATTCACAGTTGCCACATAGAGTGCTTGTGAGATCAAATTTAGTTTATGCGAGTATATGATGTAACTGGATTCTAAGGATTTAAACATCTGTGTGTGCGTAGCAGGTAATGATTTCAAA